CTCTGCGATACTTTTGATCGTCACTCTGCTGCGGCTTAACTGCTAATGACTGCCGCCGCGCCGCCTTTATCTGGCCGGCTCAGCCGATGTGTGCGTGATGGCGCTGGCAGTGTCTCTCGCCGCCGCACCCCGCCCGCCGCACCCCACCGTGAAGTTATGCGACCAAGTTCACCGCTGCTGGCAATGCTCTCGGCCACCTGCCCCACCTTCTTCGCCCCGGTTGTCCCACCCCGCCCGCCGCACCCCAGGGTGAAGTTATGCGACCAAGTTCACCGCTGCTGGCAATGCTCTCGGCCAGTTGACCGAACTAGTTCTGGCGCGCTGCCGAGGCCGCCGATGATCCCCGGCCCGCGCCGCCTGCCCTCTGTGCCTGCGGGGGACGCGGTGACGACCTCCGCGACGGCCTTCCGGAGGCTTGACGTGGCAGCGCGATGCATCGCATTGAGGTGCTCTGCGCTAACGGACCCGCGTCCAAATACCTGCCACCGCATACTCGTCTCGAGGGGTAAACATTCCCCAGAAAACCGCGAGCTGGAGCGTGGCGGGGGGCGTCCGGCCGGGGGAGACCCTGGACCGTGGCCGTTGGCATTGGCGCAGCTCCGGACCCGCGAACGGCCTGCTGCAGCGGCGCGGAGGTTTGCGGCGGCTAGTCGCCAACATACGTACATACTTGGACTAAGCACCCTGAAGTTACTTCATTATTTCCAAACCACTAGGTGCGCGCATTGTTCGCCTCGCAGCTTCCAAACCCGACACCTGGCGGGTAGGCAAGAACCTGTTCAGTACGCAGCGGTGTCGTGCGGGCTGGCCCACCTGGCGGCTTTGCAGGCGACCATGATGCTAAAGTACGGGGCAGTGCGGGCTATGGGCTTTCACTTGCAGTACCGCACTATTACAATTTGTCAGTTTTACCAGCGCGGTACTGAAAGTTACAGCCCGCACTGCACTGTCACTTAATTAAGCATCATAGTCGCCTGCAAGTCGCCAGGTAGGCCAGCCCGCACGACACTGCTGCGTACTGAATAGGCTGTTGCCTACCCGCCAGGCGGCTGGTGTGGAATCGTCGAGGTATAAACAAAATGGGCGCTTGAAAATATTGGTAATGTGGGGCAGACTTGAGTTTTATTGTCAGCTAAAAATAAAGAAAACGTGAGTGAATTTGAAAATCAGTACCTTTGTAACAACCCTGACGCGGTCACGTTGGAGATAATAATAATA